GTCAACCCAAACTTTAGCTTGTCTGGCATAAGGTTTGTCTATATTTTACAAAGTTCCTATCGTTGAAATCAACCATTTAATGAATTGTATACAGAATTCATTAAAATGTATTTTCCTGAATTTATGATTACAGGAATTGGATTACAACTGATCAAATGCTGACCCAAACAAAGACAAAAGGTAGGAGTCTACTGTATGTGTGTTTAGAGGGCAATTTTCTTTTTGCACCAAGACTTGTAAGTGTTCGGAGGAAAGAAGTGACGGAGGTTGGGAAGCCAGCAGCTCAGGTCCTTGCCTAACTTAACTAGTAGATAAACCAGTAGATTCTGATCACTACATTGAACGAATCTCCATTTCCAAGGGGTCTGTTACACCTGGGTATAATGCCTAGCTAAGTTAGCCCCCTGTAACCTGCTAAGTAAATGCACAGCACCAGCGCCCAGAGCCTGCTCACCTGTAAAACTGCAGCATGAAGCCTGTGATGGCCATCCCCCCCGGCACCTGGAAAGACATCCGGCCAATCAGGTTCATGCGGTCGCCAGAGTCGGGGTGGAAGGCAGAGTCGTACAGTTTCTTGGCGTAGTGCAGCTGCTCCACAGTGGTGCCTGGGGGTACGGTGCCCGACCTGAGGGGCAACCAGGAAGGTCAGACAGCCACAGCACACCTCGAAAAAAGAGAGCCTGCCCATATCTGGACAGAGCCCCCAACCATTTGGAGCGCTCTTAGGGGTTTGATCCCAGTTCAGCAACAGTCCACCTGATTCAAAAAGGCCTTAGAAAGTTAATAACATACACCGTTTCAGATACATTCATGAAGAGCTCACGTGAATAAGCTTTTAAAATATTAATAATTCCTTACACATACATAGCGCCTTTCTGGATACTCCACTCAAAGCGCTTACAGATAACGGGGACCCCCTCAACCATCATCAGTGTGTAGCCCCACCTGGATGATGCGACGGCAGCCATAGTGCGCCAGTACACTCACCACACATCAGCTATCAGTGGGGAGGAGAACAGGGTGATGAAACATGGTGATGATTAGGAGGCCATGATTGGTAAGGGCCAATGGGAAATTTGGCCAGGACGCCGGGGTTACACCCCTACTCTTTTCGAGAAACGCCCTGGGATTTTTAAAGACCACAGAGAGTCAGGACCTCAGTTTTACTTCTCATCCGAAGGACGGCGCCTGTTTACAGTATAGTGCCCCCATCACTATACTGGGGCATTAGGACCCACATGGACCGCAGGGTGAGCGCCCCCTGCTGGCCCCATTTACACCTCTTCCAGCAGCAACCTTAGTTTTTCCCAGAAGGTCTCCCATCCAGATACCGACCAGGCTCACACCTGCTTAGCTTCAGTGGGTTGTCAGTTGTGAGTTGCAGGGTGATATGGCTGCTGGCTGCCAATCATTTAAAAACTGCTCATGTGAGAAAGGTGTCTCGGTAAGACGCCAAACTGTGTATCTGTGGAGTTGATGAGTTGTAAGGGGACCTGATGGACGGGGGGGGGGGGGGGATGGTGTTTAGGGGGGAACAGGGGGGAAGGGGTGAGGCCGGGAGGCAGCGAACGAGACCTGCAGCTGAGGACGAGCTCCTTGGCCTGGTCGAGATGGGCGTCGGACACCAGCGCGGTGCGGGGGTCTGTGATGTTGAAGAAGTGCTTGAGCCGTCCCATGAAGGTGCTCTGGTCCCATCGAGGCGCATCGATGTCAAACGTGCTCAAGTCCATCCTGTCTGTCCTGTGCAGGTAGAGACCACTGCAGGTCAGCACTGCGCACCATAATCCTATCCCACTGATTTGGGTTATTTCAGGGTAATTCACGCAGAAACTAAATTTTAAAAGGAAGACAATACACAAAAGGTGAGGGGGTGTTGCTCAGCTGTGGCATCGTGACAGAAAAACAAAAAGGACTGTCCTTCAAGGCTCCATATTCATGAACAACACATATTCATAAAGTGCTTCTGGAGGATTACTTGTTTAATGACAAGTACAAAATCAACATTTTTTCACAACAGATACATTTATACAAAAAAAGAATCACACAGCATTACCGAAGCCAGCTCATTACTCTTGGGTTCGACTCTGGCGTGATGTGACGTGTGGAGCTTGCGTGTTCTTTCTGTATTTATATGGGCTTTGTAAGGGTGCTCCGATTTCTTCCAACACACCAAAGACATGCTGACCAGGTTAGCTGACATCTCCACACTGCCCGTGGGTGCACACTGTGACACACCCCTGTCCCTTTGTCCCAGTGCTTAGTCCTGCCTTGCTCCCAGTGCCTCTGGGAAAGGTCCCAGGCTATCACAACGCTCACTTGGAATAAACAGCTTCCCGATAATGGATAAGTGGAACAGTTATTACATTCATACTGACAAAGGCCTAAAATCCAACTCTGTCCTTGTTTGCAGGTTAATTATTCACTCGCTGTTTTTTAAAAAAACATCTTATCCTCTCCCTTTCTGCTCAAGGTCGGGTCTTTTTTCTTTTCCACATGTATCCTTGCTGCAGCAGTGGACTTGCCTTTCTCAATCAGGATCAGCACCCCTGTTTTAAGTCTATGCATCTATTATGCATGACAAGATCAAAGCCTTTAACAAAATACTGAAATATCCTTTATTTCTATAGGAGGTCCAAAGAACAGTCCAGGACTTTACTGCATCTCCTGTTCAAATGAGCTTTTTTACAGGCTACAAAAGCGAAGCCATTACAAATGTTTAAAGAGCAACCGTCAGCTCAGAGACAATCAGTCTTGAACAGAGAGGACTATGTAAGGAACCGATCCAAGTATTCAAAGTCCTCAATGTTAGCCCAAGAAAAATATTTCTTCAGAAAGAAGAATGAAACACAGGCCAGAGGACACAAGTGAAAACTATGAGGAAGTACATTTAAAACCGAGATCAGGAGGCACTTCTTTACACAAAGGGTTGTGGGAGAATGGAACAACAACCATGTTGTTGAAGCTCATTCTCTGGTTTCTTTCAAGAAATGGCTCCATAAGATCTTGGGATCAATTATCCTAGGAACTATTAACTACTAAATGGGCTTGAGGGGCTCTTCTCGTTTGTCACAGTTCTTCTATTCTGTGTCACAGAACAAACAAGGATGAAAGCAAGTTTGTTCTGGCCAGGGAAACTGCAAGCAATGCCAACCACAACAGCCAAACATTAACAGGATTCTGCCTTTCACACATAGTATTTGTTCCTGTGTCATCTAGACTTGTGATGGCCAGTTTGTGTGTAGCCAAGAGTCACTTATAAAGGGATAAACTCAATCCTGTGGAGAGACCACTTTCTCCTGAACATTTTGTATCTTCATTTCAGTACACAGCCTGAAAATGATTTATTTTTAAAGAAATAAATGCCTGTACTTCTAACAAAATAAACACATAAGACCTGCAATTTAACAAACGCGTAATGAGCTAAAAAAAACACCTCTGAACTATATCATCTCCTGAATTCACACTGGCAATTTCTGGAAACATGCACAAAGATTGTTATGACAGAGATCATAATGCTGATTCATGTAATGCATAAATCTATAGTCACTGGGTCGGTCAATTTTTATACTTTAGTACGTTTGCACAGTCAAAAAAACAACATACAAAATTTCAACTCCCCGAGAAGAAAACCTAATTGTCAATGCCAACGTCACATACTGTAGCACAACCTGGAAACTTACAACTCTATTTGAAGACGTATACTGTGTTGGAATGTGAAGCCGTTTAGTTTTTTTTTTTGTGATAACATAGGTTTGGGCCTGCTTTTAGAATTTTTTTTAAATTAAAACTGTTTTTGGAAAACAATGCGACACAATATGGGGTAAAATTATGGAGGGACTCTATTACCGACCTATGATCCTGCACAGATTTTACCCTATGTAACTTTCTGAGCTTCCAACGCAGTTTGAGCTGGTAACTGAAGTAGATTGAGGTAACACCAGGGGATTAATTGAGCCCAAGTGTGGCTCGTTGGTCACAAGCCATGTCAGTAAAGATTCAATTTCAAGTAGATAAGCGTAGGGCTGGAAAGGCTGTGTGTCTTTTGTTTGGAAGACTAAGGAGTGATTTCATTTCTATCATTTCTTCTGATTTAGCAGTTAAGATATCCAAAGTTGATGATAAAGACAACGGGGGGGCAAGACCCTAAATTTAACTACTTCGTGGGCACAAATTGTAAATCGTTCCCTCGATATAACTTTTTTTCCCCTACTGATGGCCCCTCCCGGGCTCCGTACCTTATAGTTTGTCGCCATTCATGTAAAATGTAACTACTCAGTCTTTACTCTGCAGATGAAAGTTGAGATCATCACAACGTAAGAGCTGTGAATAACAAGTTACCGGTTCCTTCCGATTGCACGGTGCAATTAAGAACTTGACGTGGGTTCTTACAAGACTGTGCATCTCAAAGTGATGCCTTTCACTGTAAATTGACCCCGCACTTGGAGATGCTGCCGCTGTGAACATGAAAAGCGCTCGTACCTATCACCCTCGGGTGTTTGATAGCGCTATCATAAATAACATTACCGTACCTTTTTCAGCGTGGCAGTCCGCACAAGCAAGGCACTCTGCAGCCAGGAACCGGGGAATGGGAGCACGCGACACGTGGCACGCTCCCCTCCAATCGCAAGGAAGAGGCGTCTCCTGTTGCGTCACACCCGGCACCTGAAGTCTCTCTCAGAGTCTAATCCGGCGGGTATAGGGTTTAGGAGCCGTTTATCCGCTGCAGGACAGCGGCTAAGGCATATGTTCTCATCGCTCTTTATGAACGCCAGTTAATCTGGCCATGTCTTTGAACAGTGGGAGGGAACCGGAGTACAACACCCCGAGAAAACCCAGTCGAACACGAGGGAAACATATAGACTCCACACAGACGGACCCACATAAGGGAGGAAAAATAGTCCCCTCATAAATCCATATCCCCTTGCAGCAAAACCAGACATCGCGTATGTTTTCTCAAATAATTTTATAGTCCGATACGTTCTTCTCCTTTGAAAATAAACTACAGTTGTTTTATTTGCACTAACCCCCTAGAAGCCTGTTTCCCCGTGGATGCATTTACAATTCTTGTATTGCTCAAATACTGCGATGTGCGGGAAATATATTATTATTATTATTATATTTGTATTATACGCTATAATTTTTTGGAGCTGTTGTAGGTTCCAAGCACGCTTCTCCGGTCTGAACACAAAGTACTCCGCCATGTTTACTCAGTTTCTTTCCGTCTGGAAACAGCCTGTGTCAGCACGTTGTTCCGTTTAAGCCCTTTGGCAGAAATGCACGAAGAATCCTTTTCGTTTTAGAATACATTAAAAAAACATCGCTATAGTCATATGAAATAGTCATGAATTTCATATGACTATTGACAGTGACCTGTTCCTGGCCTGAACACATCTACACATCTACTGCTACATCTGTTCGTTTTCTTTTCCCATTTACAACCGTTTTTTTGTGCAATATATGCCAGGGACCCGTGCAATACATTTATATTTAAATCTATATTTACATCTATATTTATATTCATATTGTGCAATACGATTTTTCTGCAAACTGTTCTGTTCTATTTTGTTCTTTGTGTGTCCTGGACTGTGAGTAACTCTTTTAGTGCATCCCTCACTGTACTGATTGTATTGTATGTATTGTACTATTATTATTGTATCATTCGTTACACTGTGGCTGTATTGTCTGTGCTAAGCTGCTGTTGCACTGCAATTTCCCTCACGGGATCAATAAAATATCTATGAAATTTATATGATGTGACAATTTTTCGATGCATGCAGCTACTCAACTAAGATCTTTATACAGCAAAGTTTTTACAGGTCATTTGTTATTGTATATGTAAAATACCAAGTTAATGCAGTCAAATAAATACATTTATACATATATAATAAACTCTGGGTGGCACAATGGCTCAGTGGTTAGCATTGCTGCCTCACAACAGTAGGGCCCCGGGTTTGATTCTGGATTTGGGGAGCTGTCTGTGTGGGGTTTGTATGTTCTCCCCATGTTTACATAGGTTTCCTCTGGGTGCTCCAGTTTCCTCCCACAGTCCAAAGACATACTGGTAGGTTAATTGGCTTCTGGCAAAACTGGCCTTGGAGTGAGTAAGTGTGTGTGGGATTATTGAATTGTCTTAATTATGTTTGATCTTTGCCAAAAGGCTACCCCATAATCCTGGTTAAACTTCCCCTGGTCTTTACGAATCATGGCCTCCTAATCTATGAATTGGCTTCATCACTCTGTTCTCCACCCCACTGATAGCTGGTGTGTGGTGAGCGTACTGGCACACTCTGGCTGCTGTCGCATCATCGGAGCTACACTTTGGTCCGGTGAAGGGGAGTCCCCATTACCTGTAAAGCACTTTGAGTGATGTGTCCAGAAAAGCGTTCTAGGCATACGGAATTATTATTATTTAATGTCTGTCTGTCCTGCCATGGACTGGTGTCGTGTCCAGGGTATATCCTGTCTTGCTTCATAGCCTGCGGCTCCCTTGCAACCCAGTACTAGATAAAGTGGTTAGAAGATGGATAAGCATGCCATTTCATTACCAGCGTTGTTTTATTCTAAAACCTCATTTAACACAGTAACACAGACTTTCTTGCTAGATGACAAGTGTTTGAAAGTTAGGCTGCTGGACTCGGCCTCATTGAGCAGCTGTGGGATGAGCTGGCATGAGGCATCTAGGGCTCAGAGACCAGTGAACAGACACCTGCTTGTCCAGGCTGTAGGAGAGGAAAGGGACAGAGTCCAATTCAACAGTGTCTGTAACCTAATATGTGCCTTATATATACACCTTGTATTGCTTCCAGCAGTGTGAACTACCAGCCTATGACTTTAACAGTAAACCCCATGTTGATGACAAATATTAATCAGCATAATAAATCTTCCTATACCATAGCTGTTCAATAAAGTACAGTTGCTACAAAAGAGATGTTATAATTTTCCTGGTACTATTGTAGAAGTGTTGCGGTGATAGGTGGTAAGAGTGATCTAAAGCTCAGACTTTTTAAAAGGGTCTGTTAAATTAGTTTGTTCTGGTTACATTTTGATTTATGCACGCGTATTAAGGTTGTAATACTAAGGAATTAAAGGTATGAATTAAGGGTATAAACTGAGAAAGTGCGACTTTTTGTTCGTATAAATGCCGGTTTTGCAAATCTGCCAATTGCACTGATGTACGCAGAGCGCATGAGCGCTGCATATTCAGAGAAGAGGTGAAGAACAGTTTATTGATCTTTTTTAATGCAGAAAGAATAAGTACTTTGAAATAAAGAAATAAATAATAAAATATGGAAATACCCATTTCAGCCGGTTAGAATCGCTAAGGTTACCAAACATTTTGATTTACGTCATCGAAATCTGTGCTCTTTACGTCGTCGTCTTAGTGAGCTGTTCGTCATCGCCCCTAGTAACCCTTGGCGGCGTCTCGGAGAGATAAAGCTAGAGGATGGTGAGTTCATTTTGGTTTTTAATAGCTATTTGACGGCGATGTAAAGCCAGTCTTGCCAGTGATCAGCCTTGTATTTACTTATGACGACACACATCGCGCGCAGTCGAAAGCGGGGAAGGGTTGTGAAAGTGTGAAGCGAGAAAAAAATGGATTTGTTGAGCTGCGGTCTTTGTTGCAGGAGATAGTAGATTAAAAAAAACACCCGTTGGTTTTCGTGGCAAGCCACGCAGGACCTTGGAGGAATGGGTGCAGATGAGCACGAGATCGATCGCTCCTTGGTTGTTAACAAGCGTCGTGTGTGGGAAAAAAGAAGCGCATATCAGTGCAATTGGCAGGTTTGCAGGAGGAGCAGGTAGCAAGCTGAGACTTACGGCTCTGGCCTGCGAGCTGTAACGTGCGAGGAATTACTGTATCCCTTCTCCGCACGACCCCGGGGCCAGCAGCATATTTATTAGTGTTCATCGTGTAAGGGGGGTGAAGTCAAAATCTGACTTGACACGTATTCAGCCTGTATTTATCAAATCCTGCTACGTACTGTGCCTTTTCAAAGAATCTTAATTTCAAATTCTTCGTCATGAGTGCTTTGTAGGGATGCCAGTTAACATTAAATACGACCGTAAGTCCTCTACTGTTGATGAACTGGTTTAAATCTGTTGCTGGGTTGGAGGGGGGGTTGATAGCGCAGGACGCGTCACTTTTACTGGAAACCGCCAGACGTGAGACATAGCGTCACGGATAGATAATACTCCCTTAAGGCCCACATGCCTCTTATTTTTCGGGTTTTATTCGGGTTACTTAAGCTAGTAAGGTATGATTCACAGCATACCTCCAACAAGTGATTCATCTTTGCCCAAGGTGATGTTAGAGTCTTGCAAGAGCCCTGTTGCTTATTGTAATAAATGTGTTGGACACTGAAGCTATTGGTGTCAGCACACCAAATACTCGGTTGTCTGCACAAATTCCACTCATTAATTATTTTGATTTAAAAAAAAAATCTTTACCTATAGTGTGTTGCTTGTCTGACACAATCCTTTATGTACAGAAGTGCCTGTTGCTTGTTGTTTGAAATGCACCTCGATATGGACACTGGAGAACACTTCTTCACACAAAGGGCTGTGAAGCAGATGCTCTGGCTACTTTAAAGAATCACCTGGATGAGATACTCAGATTATTTAACTCCCGGCAGCCATGCCTGTTGTTATGTTCTTGTGCTCCTATGTTCTTGTGTTGTTGTGGGTAGCACAATGTGTAGTCTGGATTCCTATACTTATAAACCCATCTCTGTGGAGAGGGACACATTTTGCATTGGAATATATTCAGGTAGAGGCCGACATGGTGACAGAGTTGATTAGTATGGCTCTGTCACAGAACTGGGGTGCTGTCTGCATGGAGTTTGTATGTTCTCCCTGTGTTTGCCGTCCGGGGTGTATCCTGTCCTGTACCCTTTGTGCTTTGGATAAAGTCGTTAAAAAGTGGATGGATAGATGAATATATTCAGGTGTACAGTAGCAGTTTCTGTGCTAATAGTGGCACTGTTGAGCAAATATTTTATCTTTTTTATGCACAACATATTTAACAAAGTAGAGAGTTCTTCAGCTGAGTGGAAAAGACATCCATATTCGGAATGGGCTGAGTGGGGGAAAAATAATCTGATAATTAACATCCAAATTTAAAACTAAGTATTAATGGAATTTCACTGATCTAATGCATTGCACATTAGGAAGCAGGCCTGGCTAGTCTCTGCCTCTGGGAAAATCCAGTTTTGTCTCTTTATTCATGCATACAACAATTTTACAGTCTGTACTGCTTTAAGTTGCTGTAGGTGTTACTGGTGGACCAGTAGGTGGCACTCTTTCCCCTGGACCAGTACTCTAGTATCTTGTTGTTTAGATAAGACATGAAACCGGCATCTTGATTTCTTCATCATAAAAGATCGCATGGCACTGTTCAAAAGACTAGCGATGTTAACCTGGCTAAATTCCCCCCTCGGCTGTGCAGTCTGACCCCTGAAATTCCCCCCTTAATTCAGCTGGTGATGCAGTTTCTCGCTTCTCCCCTTGACCTAACTGTGTAGTGTGACTGCTGGTGCAGATTGGCTGCTGTGCTCCAGTAGGTCCCTTCCTGTATGTAAAGCAATTTGTGATCCTTTGGGATACAAAGCTCTTTGCCAATACAATGAATTATACTGGACACATGACGTGCACCATACTTTACAATTTTAAATAAACATGTCTGAGGTACATGCAGTGTACGACAGAGTAGATTCTAAGATAAGTGTTTACCTGGTTAGATGAAATCACTGGACTGACCACATGGGTCAGTTGTGTCCCGGATTCTGCAGTCAGAGCTTCATGGTCTTCATACTGTCTGCTCCAAAGATTGAGTTTGTCTGTGTCGGCCTGGGTGTCCTAGTGACCAATGTGACCTAGCGGCCACCTGTGAGCTGAGCCATCAGGGAGAGTTGTATCTCCAGTGATGCTAGCTCTCCTGCAGTGGATGACAGGGCAGGCTTCAGAGGAAGGTGTGTGTTGTTCCTCTCCATGTTCCCTCAGTACCAGGGCCATAGTGGAGAAGCAACAGCATTAGCTCCTTGCAGTTCCAAGATAGCACGGCGTTGAAAATGAAACTGGTATTTTCAACATTAGAAAGTCACAGGCTGGGCAGAGTGTGCCTGTGTCTTCGTGATGCGCGGGGTGACTCACGCCCGCGGGCTGGGGTTAAAAAAAAGATTTCAGATCGGGTCAGGCGAAAAAAAAAAAGCCGCCCTGCGCATCACTTCTGTGTGTCTGTTTCCCAGGGTTTGCTGTCGATCCTGCGCAAGCTGAAGAGCGCCCCCGACCAGGAGGTGCGGATCCTGCTGCTGGGGCTGGACAACGCCGGCAAGACCACTCTCCTCAAGCAGCTGGCCTCAGAGGACATCAGCCATATCACGCCCACTCAGGTGCGCCACTACACCAGTGTATATACCTGTGCTGCTTACTGCGTCCCTGACTGACCTCGGAAAACAGAATATAGCAAAGCTCGTAGACAGGAAGTGGCCACTCAGCCTGGCTGTTCACCACCGAACAACAGAAACTACACTGGGTTCACTTTGTCAGTAACTTTTCGGATTTTTAATACCCGTGTCATCTTCTCGAATGTACTGACGAGGTTTAGTTCCTTAGTTAACCTTTGTGTATGATATTCCTTTTAAACTCTGAGTTCTCCTGGTCATTTACATTTAAACATTCCCCTGTGCAGCTTTTTTTTTTCAAGTCTTTTTCTATTTTTATTGCTGTCTCTGTGGTGTTTGTATGTCAGCCTGGGCTGGAAATAAGACTCCCAATTCAAAGCCATTTGATCCGGTTCAGGTTTTAGAAGTTGCAGTCTCTTGTACAGCCTACCGTGGAACTAAACAAGCAGCTGTCTCCTTTACCAGTGGTTATTGCCACCGGCAGGCATTTACAGAGTTATACAGTGCCTATAGAAAGTCTACACTCCCCTTGGGCTTTTTCACATTTTATTGTGTTACAGCATGGAACCATGATGTATTTAACTGAGAATTTGTGCCACTCATCAACACAAAGTACTCTATAAGGTCAAAGTGACAAAAAAAACAGACATTTTACTAAATTAATTAAAAATAAAAAACAGAAAAGAATTGAATGCAAAAGTATTCACCCTCTTGCTTTGACACACCTAAATTACCTTTGAGGTAACCAACTCTCTTCTCCAAGTCACAGAATTACTTGACTGGAGTCCACCTGTGTGCAGTTGATTTTGGAATATTTCCGAATAAATACACCTGTGTCTGGGAGCTTCCCCACTGAGTTAGTGCATTTCCAAGGAAACACTACACCATGAAGACCAAGGAACATTCCTAGCAGATCCGAGAGAGGGTCCTTGAAAAATACCAGTCGTGGCATGTATATAAGAACATTTCCAAGGCATTGAATATACCTCGAAGCACAGTGAAGTCCATCATTTAAAACATACAGCAAAAGCCACACTGGAGTGGCTTAAAATCAAAAAGGTTAATGTCCTGGAGTGGCCCAGTCAAACCCCAGACCTCAATCCAATTGAGCATCTGTGGAATGACTTAAAATTTGCTGTTCACAAACGGTCCCCATCCAACTTGATGGAGCTTGAGCAATATTGCCAAGAAGAATGGGCAAAAATTCCAGTGTCTAGATGTGCAACGCTGATAGAGACTTACCCAAAGAGACTCACAGCTGTAATTGCTGCCAAACGTCGTCCTACCAAGTATTAACTCCAGGTCGCTGAATACTTATGCATTCAATTATTTTCTGTTTTTTATTTTTAATTAATTTAGCAAAATGTGTGGATTTTGTTTTTACTTTGACATTATTGATGTGTTGATGTGTTGATGAGTGGCAAAAATTCTCAGTTAAATACAGCATGGTTCCATGCTGTAACACAATAAAATGTGAAAAAGTCCAAGGAGGGTGTAGACTTTCTATAGGCACTGTATAGCCAATAAGTACAAAATGACGTCTAGCTGCTAAAATCTGAAATGGCTCAAACTGCTAGGCACTGGAACTCTTATCTCCACTTCTGCCTAATATAGACCTGAGAGACCTTTTTTTTTTTCTAGCACACTTACGTTTAAAGACACATGCGTTTGCATGCTTTCCTTTATTCTGCTTGCCTATATATTTAGCCCCCACACTACCAAACCTGACTCAGATGACACTCCTGCACTTTAGCTCGTGTTGTTTTTCACGTTAAATGCTGCAGTGCACCGCACTTACTTTCTACAAGGACGCGCGACGACAGTGGGCTATCCTGTAGCTGTGGTGTAAGTCTATGCACAGACGGGTTGATGTAAGAAGTTTCCGTTTGCAATCTGGCAACTGCAGACTCAGAGTGAAACAGTGAAATCTTGCCTTTGAACACTCACCCGTTCCTGCAGGCAGCGGGACTGTACTTCTGCAGCCTAGCAGGTGTAAAAGGCGAACACATACTGTATGTAGACTTGACATTTCATGCTGATTAGTGGTCAGATGACTAGGCCTTATAACCTGCTAACTGGGGAGGCAGTTTGCGTGGTACTTAGTCTAGTTGCATATGTGATATACAAAGCAGAATATGTTTTCATTTTTTTTAAAACAACAAGTTAAACTTCAAAAGAATCCATTATGAAAAATATGGTTAAAAGAATCCATTCTGGGCACTGGCCTAGGAGGAATTTCATTTTCAAAGCCGAAAGTCTGTAATCACCTTAATCAATTATAAACGTGATGTTTACCATCTTACAAGTTACAGATTTGAGCAAAAAAAAAAATTAATCACAGCATTGAAAATTAAAGCTGAAGAAAAACATAAGAAAGTGGATGTACTGTAATTTGGTTGGTCTTATTTGATTTGATTAACAGTAGCTAATGTATCCAACCTTTGCTATTAACCTTTGCTAAGCACCTTGTCGAAGAAATAAAATAACGCTTTTCCCAGTAAATATAGTAAACTGTGAAACGACTTGAAGAGCAGTGTTTTTTTTACAGCTGAAGGCTCAGGTGCTTCAGGTGCTGTTTACGATGGACGAGATTGATCACAGAGCTTTTTGTTTCTCTTGCTTTCAGGGCTTTAACATCAAGAGTGTCCAGTCTCAGGGTTTCAAACTGAACGTGTGGGACATTGGAGGTCAGAGGAAGATCAGGCCCTACTGGAGGAATTATTTTGAGAATACAGATGTGCTCGTAAGTAAAAAAGAAGAGTGTTTATACGTCTGACATATACCTGAGTAATGGTTATGTGATATCTTGGTCTAAAAAAATCTTGTCCATCATTTGCTTATTTAATTTGGTCAAGGAATTTTTCCATCTAAAAACCCTACAGGTACACAGTGTCGACTGGATCCAGCAGAATTGTTAAAGGCCTTGAATTTTCTAAAGTGCAGTAACTATAGCCTGTGTCATTTAAACCTTGCACATTCACACATCATGGGAATATGATGGAAATGTGTAGTTCCCTTTACAAGCAGTTAAGCTGATCCCTGATTCATTATGTTACTGTTTAGTTCCATTGAAGCTGAACATTTTCATCTTCGTTATTGAAAAGTGTAAAGACAAAAAAATGGACTGCAGAGGTGTAACAAACTGTCGAGACAGAATTTCAAATAAAGGCAGTTTGAAAATAAAAGATAAAGTTTAAGGGCTACCGTAGCTCTGTAAAACCAGATTCAACTGGAAAGCTGGGCTGTGCTGGAAGAAAAGACACTTGGCAGTGGCTCAGCCAGTGAAGAGCTCCTGGATTTCAGCTTGAAATCTATGGCTGCTGGATCGTTGCTTTCCTGTGGGCTGTGTCATGTGCTGTCTGGCTGGGATTACCCGTGATGAGGCACACAAGTAGCACCCATGTAGCAGAATGCCTGGGCTCTTGGGTGGGGCTGCAGTTGGCCGGCCTTGACCTCTTCCTGCCGCAGTGACCCCTGTGGCTGGGGTGTCTGTGAGTGTGTTCTGTGCTGGGAAGAGAGCTGGAGGGGGGGGAGGGGATTTCTAAAACATGGGATTGCAATGCAGCACAAAAAAAAATGGCCGTCGCTTCTGAATGACATATGACCCTTCTGTGGTTGACTGTTGTGGCTGACCTACAGTTTTGTCTGTCCTGTTCCACTTTTTTTTATACTTCAAGTCAGTTCCTACACTTAAGTTTGTCCCCTGGCCAAACTACTGAGCACTGAACAAGTGAATAGGCTCTCTTAGAAGCGAGCAACTTGCTGAGCAGACACTCTTCCATCACTTGTCCTGGCCAGATGATGCCTGAGATGTCAGTGCTGTGGAGTACTGGTAGAATACATTGGCCAATCCCACAAAACGTTTTCCTAACCCCACACACGGTGAAAAGCTGAGGCTGATTACAAGAATGGGAGATGACCAGGCTGCACATATTTCAAAACTTGGGGAAAAGCATGTCACAGTCCTGTGCCAGCTGCTTGGCAGAGGCCCCATGTATATCATTTGGGGGGGGGCTTAGTCAGCAGTGATGACTGTATCAACATTTCTATTGCATTAGACAGCATTCAACTGACTTTTTATTTTCTCTCATATAAGGATTTGGAGAGCATCAGAGGACAGTCATTGATTCCCCAGAGGTGCTGTTGTTTAATGCATCATGAGCATATTATTGGACATGACTGCTCCTTTGTTCTCTGAAATCCACCACATAAGGATTAAAAGAGACTACTGGCCTTAGCCTCTCTGCCCTGTTCAATTACCTCATTCAAAGCTGGACCAAGAAGGGCCCCAGAGCCCAAAACGCCTACTTTCAGCTGAGTTTCACTCTTCTCCTTTCCCTTGAAAAGTGCAGAGCCCAAAACGCCTACTTTCAGCTGAGTTTCCCTCTTCTCCTTTCCCTTGAAAAGTGCAGTTGATTAAAAAGCTGCCTTTTGTGTTTCAGATTTATGTCATTGACAGCGCTGACAGAAAGAGATTTGAAGAAACAGGACAGGTAATGTTCGTTTTTAAATTTGATTATCCCTGTGAGAGAGTGAGGTGATCTTAACAGTATTTAGATGTTCTTTGCTACACGTCTTCAAACCTGCTTATCCAGGGAAGGAGTATTGTGCAACTTTTTGATCCATATCTGATTCTTCCAGCTGCACGCTCTTATGTAAGCAGTCTCCACATAGATCTTGAATATTTCATGCTTTTAACCTGATCTTGAGAATGTCTGTTTAGACACACTGGTGGAGATAAAATCTGCTAGTATTAATACTAGTACTAAAGTACTAATGCTTCTATGTGACATTAGTACTATGTGTCAAGAGTTTCCACCTCATAAAACCTGAAATGGTGCTCTGATATGATCGTTATCTTTGTTTCCCCTGCTGCTCAGCGAGTGGCATTCAGCTTATCTGCAGAGCTCGACTGGGACAGTGTCTGGTGTCGATCGTGCCTGTCTCTGTGATAACTGTGCCTGTTTTGTGCGGGGCTCGACTGGGACAGTGTCTGGTGTCGGTCGTGCCTGTCTCTGTGATAGCTGTGCCTGTTGTGTGCGGCGCTCGACTGGAACAGTGTCTGGTGTCGGCTGTGCCTGTTTCAGGCATAACTGTGCCTGTTGTCTGCAGAGCTCGACTGGGACAGTGTCAGGTATTGATCATGCCTGTCTCTGTTGATAGCTGTGCCTGTTGTGTGCAGACCTCAACTGGGACAGTGTCTGGTGTGGGTCGTGCCCGTCTCTTGATAACTGTGCCTGTTGTGTGTGGCCATCAGGAGCTGGCAGAGCTGCTGGACGAGGAGAAGCTCAGCGGGGTCCCTGTGCTCATCTTTGCCAACAAGCAGGACCTGCTCACGGCCGCGCCTGCCTCCGAGATCGCCGAGGGACTGAACCTGCACACCATTCGCGACCGCGTCTGGCAGATCCAGTCCTGCTCCGCTCTCACGGGGGAGGGCGTCCAGGTGCGGCCCTCCTCCTTGTCTCTTTTCCCAGGCTTTGTCACAGCGTTGGCGTTGATACGCGTTGTCATGCTCTCACAAAGCCCTCAGAATAAGGCTGCTACTTCAGTGCTTCAGAAACCCTATCCAATTCTCTGTGCTCTTTGGACAAAGCTAGCGCTCAAGACAGAGTAATATATATTTGGGAAAATTGCCTCATTTATTCAGAAAAGCTTGACGATGATCTTTTTTTCCCATTATTTTATTTTCAGTACTGTTTAATTTGATTTACCAGTCTGTCCATCATCTTAGAATAAATCATCTAAAAAGGGCCTTTGAAATGCACAAAATCTGCATGGAAGGTTTATTTTCAATCACAATGACAAAGGGTAACCTAGTTTGTAGTGTATTTCTGTTATATCTCTTTGCCTCCAGAATATCACCTGGGAAAAGTAAATGAATCCCTTTTGGTGCTTTTGGTGCTGCTTTAATTTTCAGATTCACCCCCAGTCCAAAATCAGTTCCTGGTTCTTGCTGATGAAAAGACACGGAGTTCAAGTCTCAGTTCCTTCTCCCAGTTCTTACCAGTGCTGAGTGTCCACATCTTTCTGCCCATCTGTCCCTGGGTTGCTTGTGTTGCCCAGCCTCCCTTCCAGACAGTAAAGCCGCCTTTGCCTTGCCTGACAAATGATGTTTTCTGTGGAGGGATGCACGCCCCCTTACAGATCATTAGAAACGGGTTCACTGTTTAGACCAAAGCATTGAAAATGAAATGCTTGGGACTTACATCAGCACCAGAACTGGGTGAAGGACACACAGTAGTGGTCATAAGAGGTGCTGAATATCTCTAAACTGATGCAGAACCTCCCTACATCTGCAGATGAAAACCGCAATATCATTTCTAAACTGAATTGGATATTTTCACCATCGTCAAATCCTGCGTTGCTGACAAGATATGGATCAATGATGGATGAAAAGCAAGCAAGTTTTCCCAATACAGAGCCAATTAATGAATCCTGAGGTATAGACTAGTACACAGCAATCATGGCTCCTTCAGCCAAGCTTGACTGCTCCATTATAAAAACCCAAGGAAGCTTATAAAGAAAGCGTTCAGCCCAATTGATGATCATTACTTATTTGATGTGGCATCTGCTTATTTTGTTGATGAGGCGTCACTACTGGTAGTTCAAACTAATGGGGTTTTAAAGTATAGTAAGAGTTTGGGATTTTCTATCCATCCATCGGTTTTCTTCCTCTAGTTCAGGGTCACAGTGGAGTTGCAGTCTATGCTGGTAAGCAATGGCCACAAGGTTGGATACACCCTGGACAGGATGCCAGTCCATCCGAGGGCACACACAGACACATACACGCACACGTGTGTCAGGGTCATTTTCTCAGAAGCCAGTTAACCCACAACTAGATCTTTGGGCTCTGGGAGCAAACTGGAGCACCAGGAGGAAATCCACGTGAACACAGGGAGAATATACAAACTCCACACAGACAGCACCACAGGTCTGGAATTGAACCCAGGGCCCCAGCACTGTAAAAAGGCAGGAATGCTACCCACTGTGCTAGCATTACTTCCTACAGAGATTTTGTAATATTTGTTTTTTCTTTTGTTTTCAGGATGGCATGAACTGGGTCTGCAAAAATGTGAATGCGAAGAAAAAATAGTCGATTTGTTTCTTTCGGGGGTTCTCTTTGGACTGGCAGATGAATGTAAACCAAGATGGAGGGAGGAGACTTGAGGAGATCAGAACTGATGTACCAAGAGCAACACTAATTCCTAAACCCACCAGTTAACCACCACCACCACAGCAGCAGGACCTCCATGTGGACCGTTGGGTGAGAGTGATGTCTCCCGGCAGCCCCCTCTCAGATCTGTCTCTGCTCAGGTTACTTCCCTGGAACTGTATTGACAGTGTGCTGTGTTCGTATTATGAGTGAGTTAGGCTGGGAAGTGTGTTATACAAAGTGTAATTTTAGAATCAGGGCTTCTGTGAAATCCCTACATCAGTGTTCCTGTGAGGTTAGGCGACACTCAGGTTTTTTTTTTTTTCAGTTTATCCTGGTGGTCTGTAGTGTCAATTAAACTGTAGAGTCTCCCCTAGTCAGCCGTCGCTTAAGTACTAGCAAATACTAATGAGCGTGGGTCTGCTGGAGCCATCGCGGAGTAGCACCTCATTCAAGTGAACAGCAGCACTGTTTGCATCAGTGATTCGAACCCACGACCCACCTGTCATCAGTATGTGACAGCACAGAGTCTTAATTCCATTTCCAGGAAGCCCCATTCACAGTTTTCTTACATCAACACTCAATCTCCAGGTCTGGCCGCAGTCCTGTCATAGACCTGCTGATTTTCAAGGACCTCAAAGAGCCTGGTTTACAGCATGCAAGCTCGGTGACCACCCTTCAGACAAAATGGGAAGAATCACAATGTGTGTGAAGTCTTTTCTTTCAACCAAATGGAAAGCCTGCCAATTGTGGCCCATCTAGAAAGTAAAGTGTTATAAATCACAAGACTTACTTCAGGAAATCAGAACTGGGATAAGGCAAAGTAAACAACATGTCCTAAAAGATTGCTGAAGATATCTAATGGTAAGAGACCCCTGTAAGGCATTGCTGTCAGAATAATCTCTCATCCTAATACAGGGCTTTAAGGTGAAGATGTATACACATTTCAGCTTTCCCAGTAGGCTAGTTAATTGACTGCTTTCCTTAGTAACCGAAAGCCGAGCCCTCAGTCCTGGCAATAGAAAGGCTCACTCATCAGCTGACTATGTGGCTATGGTCTTCTGTCACAAACTCACACTGCCCCAAGTGGAACGGAGGTCACACTGCTTTGTCTTCATGAGCACATTTTGTTTTTTTCTCTAAAGGTAAGAGACATCAAGAAGGTACAGTATTGTGATCAGAATCATGATAAGGCTTAAACTTGAAAAGTCAAACAAGGCAAAAGCAGCTCAACCTTTATTAGATATAAGTCAACTATTGTAAAACCTTCATATTTTAAGTTTTGTGGAAAATGTTAAGTGCTTGTTTTTTTATTGCATTTCAAAGAGTGGCAAATAGTTATTTGTGTGTGGAATAAAGACTCTTGTGATAAATTTCTGTTCTTTAGCACATAAAACAGTATTGCAACACTGTGGAGAGGACTGTCCTATACTATACTCTCCTGCCCCTGATGTGTCATGGTTTCTTGTAGAGGAGCACTGAAACACTGTGTCAAAGTGAGACAAAAAAAATCCATGTTAATCACAAGTGGAGGTACAATTAAAGCTCATGAACTCATATATAAAAATATAAAACGGTAACTACTGAAGTGCTGGAGGGCAAATGTTTCCTCTGATGAAGTTGTTACTGTGATAGATACGTACTGTGTAGTCATCACACTTCCAGTATAACAGTTCACAAATGGAGTTTGTCAGTAAAAATCAAGGGCAAGGGAATAGATAATCAAATGAATGATCTCTAGATTCTCTAGATGTCTTTGATAATGAGGACCTTGCACAATGTTCTTGAATGACTATAGTTTCAAAATGGCATTTGTTATATATCGGGAAGGAATTCTGAATATCTGTCTAACCAGAAATGTGATAAATAGGAACTTGTATCAAGAGATCAAATGTATTCATTGATCTTTGATTTATAGATATTCTTTACAGGATGTTGACTGGCTAGGTTAGGCTAAAAACAACTCGTTCTGTCTTAAGACCACCAGGACCTCTGTTGAAGATGCAGGAGAGGTTCTTTACTAGCTGGGCTTAGTTCTGAGTATGTAAATGGCAGTATCCTTTAGGCCTGCTGCAGTACATTTATTTGCATTATTAAGTTTATCTACGTTCAGTGCACATATACATATTTAAAAAGCAAGTCGGCGCGCCTCTGTGTTCTCTTTATCTCTGTAGAGACAGTCTCTACTTGGCCCTGGACCAGGCTTGTCAGTGTTTACTAGACCAAACAACATCTTAATGGGATTGGCAGAATTGAGCTTGCTTCACACTCTTTGATTTTTGATCAAAATAATTATCTGCAAAGACCAGCCTTCCAGACAGGATGTACAAATTGTAATCGCCCTGTAAGAGAGTTCCATTCTGTTCTGAAACCCTAAGGTACTGTATATCTAATCACAACCCACCTCACCAGTGAACTCTTTGAAGTCACGTAACCTTTTTGTAACCAAGTGAGAGACAGTAAGTGGGAGTCTGATATAATTGAACAGGGTGAAGGTGAGATAGGCAGCAGGATTTAATGACCTTTACCAAAGCCATCTTAAAAGTTTAACTATGGCTTTAAGAATTTATTTAAACATAAATTGTATTGCAATGATGTCAGGTGGGTGACAGCAGTCCATATTGGGGTCATTGAGCTTGTTTAACATTTATTCATGCTGAGAGACTCCACAGTATAGCGGAAGGCACTGACTTTGGCATCTGAATGCATTGACTATGAAGCCCAGTGGCTACAGTCAGCTTTTTGTGTACAATACTAAATAAACCCTTTATTCCAGGGCATTCATAACTTTTTCTCTTTACTCTAAATAGATAGCCCAACTCTTGTTAAAACACTGCCATAATGTAACCTAGAAGTATCTTTGAAGTTTTCAGGCCAGTTTTATTCAGTTTTAGTCTTGTGACCTTTTGTTCATGTCAGCACCCGATATTAGAGGAAATTTGTTTTGGAACTGTACTTTAATTTATGAATTTAATTTAAACAGAACTGACCTGGAGAAGAGAGCAATGTTTTAAAATGGATTTAATGATGGCTGCCAAACACTAGCCGAAACAAAATGTGGGAGACTTCAGAGAGTTAGGCATGAGGGATTGATCTTTTGCTGGAGAAAAATCTCTGGAAGTCAGCCTGTAAGTTTCTTTTCAGTATTCTGCAGATGGTGTGAATTGAGGCTGAAAAGGCTGGCTTGTTTGCTGAAGTCACTTTTGCAGTTTCCTGGATGCAGCCAATACTCCGTCATTTTGTTCATTTCCAGCTCTAAAATGTCCGTTATCTCTTAAAGAGGTGCTTGATTTTCCTAATGCTCTGAGGTAGATCAGTCTCAGGGTTGAAACTTCAGCAGCCCTGAAGACCTGATGCGCTGCATTCCAGCGCCTTCTTGTTGACGTGGTTGGCTGACATTGTTTTCATCCAGTAAAACTGCTGTTATGTCCCTGTGAGAAACAATAAAATGTCTTTGTCTTTATTTCCCTTTCTGTGATTGAAAGGCAGTTTAAAGCGTGGGAGTCCTGGTACAGTGAGATGTTCAGCAGACAAAGATCAGTCACATGCAGTGATGAGGTGAAAGACAGTTATGTCACTGATACTCCTGGTCCTGGAGGGCCCTGTGTCTTCTGCTTCTCATTCTACCTTGGATACCTAATGGCTTAATTAGGATCATCTGATTGCTCAACTGCTTTTTTATCACCACTGTTTTCAGTGACTGAAGGAGGATAAGTTCCTTTTAAAAGGAGTGAATATCACTGGGTTAAGATCTTTGAGCTGTTTCAGTCTCCCCTTTGCCTAGTCTGACTCCTGTCAGGTACAGGAGGTTTGGTGGCCTACCAGTGAGGAGAAAAGTTTTGTTACCAGAAATTTCTTGGTTCAAACATGGGTTTCTGCCGCTGACAAACTGTCTCACCCTGAGCAGGTTACTAAAACTCTTGGTGCTTCCCTACTCTTGAGGTTTATGGATGATTGTGTCTGCCATAGTGTTCCATGCCATAGCTGTTGAGCCCACTTTTTGTACCCAGCCTGTGTACACTGTCTGGAAGGAGACAGGGCTGAAGTTTCTGCTGTATCTTGGGTCTGTGTCCCTAAGGTTTTATTTTTCTGCAAAAGAATGTGTTAAAATGTCTTTTATAGTCCAAGCAGGTTCTCTAGAGCTGTTTTTTTTTTCTTTGCGCCTCCAGTCCCGGGGATTACCGATAGTCCAGGTCTCCAGTCCAGCCAGCGTGTGGTTTCTTTTGAAGCTTTGGGTATTTCATCTCCCAATGCAGCCACTCGCCTGCTCTGGGAGAGGAGCCTCTCACTCCCAGTAAGGACTGAGGGCTCCCTATCGGGGGGTCCCCAGGGAAGAGGCCGCTGCGGGGCTTTGTGGTGGCTGTCTGAGGGAGCTCAGCCCGTGACTGGGGCGCCTTCTCCAGATCAGGAGGCGGCTCTCATGTCATGGTATTATCGAGCCTGGCGTAACTATGGCAACGGGACATACACAGTCCTGTTGAGCAGAACCTGCTGTATTTGTCAAACCCTCACCCGGAGCACACAGCATGCCGCCGCCTCCCATGGGCCTGTCAGCACAACATGCTGGCCTGTTGGCAATTGTTCTGTGTTCCTTTTTCTTTCTGGGTTTTGCTTTGTTTTCTTAGCTGAAAGCAAACGATGGGTTTTTGTTGTAGTGGCCTGCATCTGAACGTGTACTATAGATGTTGTACTGGAAGAAATAAACACTGTTTAATAAAGACGTTGACTTTCTGTGGAGTTCTGTGCTTTTCTGGGTCTTGTACCTGGCTTTCTGATCAGTTTGGAGGAAGGATTTTCATAAACTAGGAGAATTGCCAAGGGAGGGCAAGACTGTTAGAAGCAAAATTCTCTTTTGCTGGATACATTAGTCAGTACCAAGACCTGGATAGACATGCCATGTTATTCAGTGCTAATTGCTAAGCTCCTGGTAAAAATGTCTGTTGGGTTTATTACATTTTTAACTGCGAGACATGACTGAGTGAGAAGACGGCCGGGGACAATACAACCCTTGCCTTTTCTGTGCAACATGCGGATCCTGTCCCCAGTATTTTAGATCCAATCTAATTTGACATGGGAACATCAGCTAATAAATCAGATGGATAATGGAGACTTAGGCCAGTCACACTTGAGTTTTTTTTGTGAGTAGGGTGATGCCTTAACAGACTCTGAGAATTAAATCTTACCGACTGCAACACTTTCATCTTGGCACCACCCTGACATGCTAAAACAACCTTTAAAAAGTTGGAACAAAACTCCGATAGAAGTTTCCAGTTAAAAGGATCTTGTTGTGACACACAAATATGGCCTCATCCTCCTACTTTGTTTCTCCTAAGTCGCGGCAACAATCAGCTGAGATTCAAGTGAATCCGTGTTCCCCAGGAGAGCTATGACTAAGAATATACGACAAACGAAGTGACACAATCGGCATTCAGCTGGGGACAAAATTCCAGGAAGTCCTACGGCGCGGCAGACAGGACGGCTCTGGTCGGCAGCTGTGGTGTCAGTGCCACCACGGGGATGGCTGTGACCCCTGGAGCACACCAACTCGGAGACACAGCTCCACAGTCGGTGACACATATCGGCTCAGTTAACAAGTGCCATCACAACATCTCCGCGACGAGACAAGGCGTGCATTGTGCCCCTCGGGCTATCAAAACACCGCGGGAGAATTTTTAAGAGGCCACCAAGTTTCCCGTGAATGACGCTGTTTTCTCTGACGGGCCCCCCCGCAGACGCTGCCCACTCGGAGATGTGCTGCCACGTGGTCTGGAACAAAGAGCTCAGTCTTCGCTTGGGTGCAGGGAGGTGGAGAGGGAGGTCTTTCCTGCACACATTTTTATAGCTTAAAACATCTTCAGTTAAGCCAAAGCCATCACAATGCAAGGGGAAAGGAAGGGTCACAATTGAATCTTTCTGAACCTGGCGCAGCCCAAATAATTTAGTCGGTTGAAATATTGGCTGCTATAAGTATTGGCTCAAAGCTGTACCTCAACAAATTAATTTTTAAGGAGAAGTATACCAGGGACGTTCATTTCCCATATTTCTGTGTCATTTAGCAGTGTCACAGTGAACAGTGAAACACAATTGTATTTAAAACTGAGAACAGAGTTGTGGGAGTCTGGAACAAGCTGCCCAGCTGTGTTGTTGAAGCTGATACCTTGGTTTCTTTCAAGAAGCAGCTGGTTGAGATCCTGGGTTCAATAAACTACTTAGGATATTAGTGTCCCTGGAACCTGCTCGGAATTTAATGTGTGGGACATGATGCAGATATGGTTCTCTCAATCACATTAACTTGCAAAAGATAATTCAATAAAGCAATTAAGGATGCATTGTTTCAGGAAAAGAGGCTGGTCCAGTGCTCCAAGAGGAACATATTGCAATAGGGAGGACTGTACCAACACAAACTCCATGAAATGGTTTGGAATTTGCTTTCCCAAAACCAAGGTTTTGGATCGTCTCTATTTTGCCTAAAATTGAGCCTAAGGTCCGCTTTCATATCTTTTGTTACTTTTGCAGATGCAAAAGCCATCGTAAAAAATTCACTCCAAAGAGTTTGGTTATTAAGAGAGCAGGTGACATATTGGAATAAATGTATCCATCCATTTTCTAATCGCTTTAGCCACTACAGGGTTACGAGGGAGCCGGAAGCCGTCCTGGCACCATCGACAAGCTCGCACTCACACCTGGGTCAATTTCTCCGAAGCCAATTCAATTCCCAGCATGTCTTTGGACTGTGGGAGGAAACCGGCGCACCTGGAGGAAACCCAAGAGAACACGGGGAGAAAATACAAACTCCACACAGACAGCACCTCAGGAATTGAACCCAGGGCCCCAAATGCTAACTACTGTGCCATTGTGCCACCTGCCCAAACTAAACTGATGGTATTATAAAAAAAAAACAGTTATAATGCCCAAGATGACTTGCACCATAGTTTCCATAGTAACTGACAGAGCAACAACAGATTCCTGTGGTCAGTCTTAAGACCTATCACTGAATAAGGCTGTAAAGTAAGTTAGAATAGGAATAATCTGAATTTCACCCACAGCCTTCATGAACACTCATCTGTTGCTTGCTTCCATTTCTGTAGAAAGCGCTTATTCTGGAACACTGTCAATGGCAGTTTAAGGCTTTAATGGAATTAATTGGCCGTCTTCCCAACCAATTCTTAGAAACTCTATACCAGCTAATAACCTTTAATTTATATTTACCTCTATGGTGAGCGTCCTAAAGAGTTGTGGGAACCTACAAAATTAGCTTTTGTGTTGTAAAGTGCTTAATTTCACAGACGAATATCTCAGACCTAGTGTGTCACAGGGCGTTGCAGTCAGACAGCATGAGCAGAGCCTGGCCAGGCAAAGCAGCCATTACAGCATGGCAAGAAAAAAGGTTTCATGCTTGAAGTAAGTCTCCGTCAGGTAAGGCTGGAGGCACCGGAAGAAGCAGTTGTGTGAGAACAGATGAAGACGTACAGATTTCTCAGCAAGAGGACAATGGTAAGGGTTATGCCACACAAGGTCAAAATATCAACAGTACTCATCACATAAGTAAAGTACGGGAATAAAATAACATATCAGGAGCCAATTATCTTCTGCATATTTGAATTATCTGAATGTGTGGCGCTGAGCTGTGTTAAGTGAAAAAAGAAGGTCGGTAAGATTGCAGTTATAAAGTTGTAAAGTTGCCATGGTTGTTATTAATCAAGCTCATTATTGTAAGAGCAGGTGGTAATGCTGCACCCAGCTTTTAATGTCTAAAAACATGGAATTTGTGCTCAATTGTGTAAGTAAAATATACACCTGCACCAAAGAGACTGTTTCCATGTGGATAGCTTTAACTCTTACTGATGCACACACTCTTGGAGAAAAAAACTGCTTCCCTTTCTTCATAGAGATGAAGTCATCTGCATGAGGCTACCTGCAGCTAGCTCTTGTGACACAGACAGTTCCAGTATTTATTTCAGTATTTGTTCCTGCAGAAGTGAGAGTGCTGTCCAATATCCATGGCAGGCGGTTTGCCAGTCTCATATCTGGATCGACAGCTCTGTGTTAGTAGCCAGTGGAATGATTTCGACAGCACTCTCAAATCTTGAAAGGATAAAGATCCACAGTAAGGGTGCCGTTTTTTACGGAGGGATTTCTTCAGGTCACTGAAACCAGAAGATACCACAGAAGTGAGCTTGTTGATTGCTTCTCACCCAGACACGGAACCCAGCTGGGATCGCTCCTTCTAATAAACAAACCGGGAGCTGGAACTCTGCTCTTTTCCAGAGACTTGGGTGAGCGGTGAAGACAACCCCATCTCACATTACAGTGGGATTATCCAGAGAGGATGACTGACTAAATCTTTTCGAAGCTTATCTCTGTATTGTTGTCGACCCTATTCATTCTGCTGTTGCTTGGCGGTACTCTAAAACTCCTCTGTGTGCTGTGGTTTCCTCCCATAGTCCTCAGACGTACTGGTTGGTTAACTGGCATCTGTAAAAGAACTGGTCCTGCTGCGAGTGTGTGTCTGTGTGTATCCTGCGATGGACTGGCGTCCTGTCCAGGCTGTATCCTGCCTTGTGCCCGTTGTTTTATTGGAATAGGCTCCGGCTCCCCAACAACCCTTTTTACTGGATAAGCAGATTAGAAAATGGATGGGTGTATCATGTGCTTTTGTAAAGTTCCTCTGGCTTGCTGTGTACACAGCATTCATTTGAAGTTGTTCTGGTGACTTTGCTTTGGACTCTTCCTACGGGCAGAAAGCCCAGTTTTGCAACAACACAGAGCAAAACTGAACTCAATATTCTAAATCAGGGGCTTGAGGTAGGTGGCTGCATCAGCATGAGTAGGCTGCAAAGGAACAGGTGAAGGTTTATTTCCATGCTGAAAAGAAACACAACACTTCGGCTGAGGCGCCTTCTGAAGGAAGCTGAAATGTTGCGTCTGTTTCCTTTTCAGCATGGAAGAAACCTTTACCCGTTCCTTTACATTCTAAATGAGGTCTCACTAGTGTAGTAGTTCTCAGTCTGGGTCTTGGTGGACTTGTCTGCCTTTCAATTCAGCTGAGCTCTTTTTTCATGAGACTATCCACTCCTTCCAATTCAAGGTCGCAGGGGAGCCGGTGCCTATTCCAGTGAGCAACGGGCATAAGGCAGGATACACCCTGGACAGGACGCAAGTCTATCCCAGGACAGACAGATTAACCTGCCAGTATGTGTTTGGACTGTGGGAGGAAACTGGGGAACCCAGTGGAAATCCATATGAACAGGTAGCCAAGGGAAAACGTACACACAGACAGCACCCCAGGTCTGGAACTGAGCCCAGGGCCCCAGTGCTACGAGGCAGCAATGATAACTACTACGCCACTGAGCGGCCAATTTATGAGACTAATTGAGTTAATTGAGTTACGACCATTTTTCAGCAACTGGAAGGATGAATGAGGTTAGTAATTGACACCAAACACGTCTCAGAGTATCACACCCTGGATTTAAAATCTGCAATTTTCACTTCATTTAGAAAAGCCCATTTCTCTATATATACAAGTAGTCACTGACCATATAAAAGGGATATAATTAAACAAACACAAACCTTTTGATCAATAAAAAATCTGTCCGGTCTGGTCAGTCCTGAATAGTCTCTAAATTTTCTTGTATTTCTTTAACTGCTGTTACAGCGACAGTATTGACTGCAACCTATTTTTCAGTCTATCCAACCCATCCATTATCAGAACGGTGCGCATGGACAATTAACCCAGCTAGAATGTCTTTGAAAGGTGGGAAGAAACCAGAACACCTGGAGAAAGCCCACACACCTGGATAAAACATGCAAACTCCACACGGAAGGTACCACCTCCTGGAATCAAACCCAGGACACAAGAGCTGTGAGGTAGCAATGCTAACCACAATGTCGCCTTGCCTGCCTTATTTTTGTCTTATTTTTAACAAAATTACTGTGCAGAAAATCAAACCTGCCCAGCAATCAGGTGGTCATGCTGCTTGTCTTTCACCTTGCTCCAGCTGTAACAGAACCAAGCAGCCACACCTCTCCTGACTCCAGACACAGCTACATTCAGAGTCCAAATCTTTGCGTGTGGAGACGACTGCATCATCCTCTCCGAATTAACAACGCCTGCTTTCACATTTTGAACAGAATTTTAAAAAAAAGCAACAAAAGAGTTTCTGTCCCCTCGGTTTTGTGGCCAAAGTGTGATATGGAAGCAGGCTGGCTCCCAGGACTCACAACACTTTGGTATGAGCTATTCTGCACCACAGGGCTGGAGAGCCAAGATTCACTCTTCATTAAAATTCTCCACCACCGTCTGGATGGGAGGTGATAGAAGGTGAACATTTTCTGGAGAGGAGTTTGAGAGGGGATTAGGATCCAAAGCGGAACAGGGGCTTCTCTGGGTTCCACCCAGGGTGTGCTGGGTAATTGTTGTGAATGGAAAATGTGGAAAATGTCGAATCCCAAGGCTAAGGCAGGGCTACAAGAACACTGACTGGAGTCATTCCACACTTCAGGCTAATCACACACAAGGGGTCTAAATTAAACAGTTGCCTCCGCCACAGAGTCTACCAGATAAAATGCATGTACAACTTTTTACTATTAACACGAGCAGCCTAGGCGCTCATACAATATGCATGGTGACAGAATTTTTTCTGACAGAAAAAAAAACAGTACAGAAACAAACATGGTTTTGTGTGTCATGCAGGGCCTGACACAGACGCTCATGCAGGAGACAGCTGTTTATACCACAGGACTTCTGCGGCAGAGAGATAACCAGTTCCATTAATGCACAGGGGATGCTCAGGCTGCTTTCATTACCTTGAAAAGGGTAAACTTTGAATGCAAAAAACACAGCCCTGCGTTTTATATCCTTGTGTTAGTGACTCAGCTAGGAAGCACATCCCCTCTCATTTCCTGTCTCTCATTTCACAACAGCAGACACAGTCTCCTCTCACATTGTTCTTTCATTACTAACTAGCCTTTACACTGAGGTAAATACAATAAAACACATGGCTATAAAACAGAAGAAGGTACCTGCACGCCCCAGCTGTCTGAGGTCAGTCTGTAACTGAGCCATTCAGACAGGGTGCATAAATGCTCTCTGGGAGAAAATGCATGTGTGCCCAGGGAGATCATGCAAACCCCACACAGAAGGGCTGGTGTTCAATCCAAAACGCTAGAAATGTGAGGCAGTAGCACAGATTTCCACTCCTGGGTCTCAATACTTGTTCTTTGACATTATCTCCACATAATTAAATTATTGGTTGGATCTTAGTCTTTGAGTGTTGGAATTCTAATCTCATGCAAAAAAAAAAAACTGTGCAAAGCCTGCTGCACACCAAATAGAAATAATATATAAATGAGTAACACAGTTCTGTACTGGGCAGATTAGTCACACTTGATATTCCCCCTGGGAAACAGAATGCGAATTGGCAATGAATCCAAATGCTGTAACATAAACCCCTGCCATATTAAAATGAAAACAGGTGGATTTGTCCCTTTTTCCTTCTGTTCCACACCTGTGTGCATACCTCATCTTTCTGCACAAGTGTCAGCACCAGGCCCTACATGGCACACAAAGCCCCAGATATTGCTGTGTTTGTACCTGGCTCTCAGATACTGCTGTGTTGGTGCCTGCACCTTTAGGTGCATGGTGTTGTGCTGCATTTACTGTCACATGAAACAATACTTACTGCTTTATGCCAGTCCATCCACACAGGGCACACATTCACCAGGGCCAGGTTTCTCAGAAACCAATTAACCTATCAGTATGTTTTTAAACTCTGGCAATAGCCCCAGAGGCAGCATTGCTAACCACTGTGCCACAGTGATGCCACATACTTAATTATTCAAATGTTATCTTCAAAGAATATTCAGAGCTATTAAGTCCTAGTTAGCTAGTTGCAGTAACGGTGTCAGTAAGTGAAATGAGTGTTTGGGTGGAATGGTGGTTCGGACAAAAGGACTTTTCTCAAACTCAGCTATAAAAATGGATTGTTTGCAAGTCAAAGTAATTGAGAACTTGTTCTCGATTGATTTATTCATTAAGTAGATGAATTAATCAAAACTGGCAAGGGACACTAATACATGCTCTGAAACTCCTAATTTTATCACAAAATGAAAGAAAAGGAGATCACGTGCACATCTGAGTCATGTGCCTCTGGGCGCCAGGATTGCAGACCCAGTCAGACACACCTCCACCAGCTCTGCGCAGCTCGCAAGCCTGCAGAGCCACGTGCAGAGTGTCCTCAGACAGGAAGGAGACTGGGTCTGGAAGAACTGAACACTGAGTGGCGAGCGGCCTGAGCACATGCACACATGCACACTGACCCGGACTCCAGTCCAACTGTACTGCCTGGACTTGTTCCATGTTTTCTCTTGCAGAGTAAAAAGGAACAGGAGAAACAACAGAGGCCTAGAAAACTCCATGGGTTGGTCTGAAAATGACCTGAATTTGAGAGGGATTTTAATAATACTCATGAGTCTGTATCTGTCAATGGCCAAGGCTGACCTGGGTTTGCTGTCACTTAGCGCTTCTGTACGCTTGTATCTTGTATATGGGTGACAGGGCCTTCTCCCGTTATGCCCCCAAGCTCTGGAACTCTTTGCCCAAGGATATCAGAGAGTCACCTTCTCTTAACTCCTTCAAATCCAGACTCAAAACCCTCTTCTTTAGAAAAACCTTTACTTAACTGGTTCCATTCTTCACCCCTCTGCTCTTCTTAGTACCACCATCCACGTTCTCCTCTATATATTGTCATTGTGTCTTATCTATCTTATCTTATTATGATATCTTATTCTCCTTATTAATTGTTATTGTCATCCTGTAAAGAGCTTTGAGAAGCCACCTTTAAAGGTGCTATATAAAATAAAGTTTATTATTATTATTATTATTATAAGCATGTGATATTGAACGCTGGTAGAGTATGTGACACCTCAATGTTGTCTTCATTTCCCCGGTAGATTGAACTGTGACTGAGCTCTTTAGAATTAGTGAAAAGGGATGTGCTGTTTCCAGAGCTTTTCTTTAGTTTCACATGTTTCATTGTAAGGAGCTGGTTGCCAGCTTGAGGTTTCAGAGATTGGAAACCAGGAAGTCGGGAGTTGGGCTCCTGGACTGGAGTTTCTGCGGGCCCGCGCCTGTGTGCGTGGGAGCGCTCTCACGCTCCGAGTCTGCTTGCTGGGCGGAGCCTGCTGGGCCTGACAGCTGTGCGTTGCCGTGGCAGCCTGTCTGCAGGGCTGCGGGGAGAGGCCTGGGCAAAGGTGTTTTACGGCTGTTCTCTTCTGGGGATCGGACAGCTGTTCTGCAGCTGCTGTTTGCCATCACGGCCCTGAAGGCCTGCGGATTAGCGCCGCCGCTCTCTGACAGATAGCACTTCTGTTATTCCAAACTCCTTGGCTAATCTTAGAGATCCGGAATATACGTGTCTTTGGACAAATCAGGCATGTACCCTGTTTGCAGTCATGTGGAAAGGCACGAGTACATGTCTCATAGTAAATTACCCGAGACAGAAATGAAGCCCTGCTTTTGTCTAGTCCAAAAAACAAAGGGAAAACAAAAATTACCCGTGAGGGACAGCGTTATGGTGCATTATAGTGGAAAAGCGTACTGTCCAACTTCTGGTGCAAAAACATCCCCATATAAATTCATTAATAATATTTTGTTACCATAGATTTAGTTCTAAACTCAGACACTTTATATTGCCTTATGTTGAGGACTACGTATCCTGAATGCTTATTATTGACACAGCCCTGCTGTGGAAAATTCCACAGCCCAAGAAACACACGTGTACAACACAATGCCAAGCAGAACAGCAGAGCAGGCACGAACACCATAGACTCCTACAGCCTGGCCCCATGCAGCAGCAGCAGGGCCCTGCCACCAAAGCTCAAGCAGACTGCCTGTCCTCATGTGTGGAAGGCCTATCATTCCACTGGGTCTGGAGGTTTGCTGGTTTTGATGCAGCAGAGCTCTGTGGATCGATGTTCTATAATCCTTGCGCTAAAGCAAGCATAGGCAGGAGCCCGCGTCTCAGAGCAGAGTGGAAAAATTCTGCCTGTTCAAATCCTGATGGATAAAGTGACGCTGTCGAAAAGTGGTTTAAAATGGGCATAGAGTTTTGGGAGCTCCACTAATCAGTGTGAATCGGAACACTTGAGCCCCATAACCGACCCCTCACTGGATTATAACAGACAATGTGTTATGATTGATACACAAAATGAACACCAGAAGTACGAAAGAGGCATGTGAAAAAAAACTTATTTTCCACTAATCCACACTATTTCGTCACGGCAGCATTCTGCATGAGAAACACCAAGCCTGCCTTCCAGGTATGGATGTGTTTGTGCCAGCTCTATTTTGTGACTGGTGTTTTGGCACTGCGACAGCTGTCTTAAGGCTGCTTTATTTTCACATACCCACATATATAAAATTATGACAGAACCAGGAGAGGGGGGCTTGTGAACTTGCTTTGATCTGCCTGTCCCAGACTCACCTGCTCTTTCCTTTCCTGAGGCCTGTTCACTCTCGCAGGCCCGAACTCGAAGAGTTCAGAAGCTGACTCTCCCACAGGACAGCTCGCTGTGCTCTGGCCTTTACCACAAAATGGAACAGACAGCAGCAGGCCAGTCTCGGTTTGCCCCCTCCAGCACCACAGAGGACCTGACACACATTCGCATTCCGAAGACACGTTTGCGCTAAGGGGGCTGTGACGAAAGACTAATTGAAGAGCCAGGAATTTCGGAAGAGTGAGATGTTGTCTTCTTTAGCAGAACTGGGCTCTGCTCTGGGCGCACTTGGAGTGTCTTTAAGACCCCCTACTGTAGCCCCGCCCCACCCCACAGGCTTTAAGAAGATTTCGGATTATCCCACACGGCTTTAAGGATCGGAATTGCAATGTTGCTGGGTGGCAGAAATTTTAATTCTGCATGGTAAATAGATTATTCAGCATGTGAGGCCTATTATGAATCAGGTTTCAGTGGGCAGCCGTTAAAACACATCGTTCCTAGCCCCTGGCACTCTTTCACGCTGCTGCATTTCGAATCACATCCTGCAATACAGGAAGGGCAGGGAAATGGGTGAACAGGATGAAGAAACGTCAGATGAAGCCCAGGAAGGACATGAGAGTGTGGCTCACGGGTGACCGGCCAGAGCAAAGGGGGGAGTCGAATGACATCAGCCGGCGAAGCCTGGCGATTTGGGTCACGCAGTGCCCAGAGTCTCCAGCTGACTCACGTGTGACTGGAGAAGATGAATGTCACGTCGGGACAGGGAGAGGCTGCACCCTGAGCCACTAGGGGGTCTGCTATCCAGCACAGTCTTAGGCCCTTTCCTGTGAAGGGCTGTTCATATGATCAGTTCTAAGGAAGTCAGAAGAAGATCACACAGCATCTCCCACAAATCAAGTAACCAAATCTGTCCCTCAACTTAGGACGTTCTCTAGAGCTCTGCCGAGAGACTGAAGGGCGATCTTAATGGGCTGGGAGGGAGGCAAGACAGGTTAAAACATAAGGTGGGAAAGGACTTGTGTGGCACAATCTTCTTTCAGACAGAAGCTGACAGTCCAGTCTGATCACATTCCCCAGACAAAGTTTAAAAGCCTCAGGATATACACCTCTTTCTGGGAGAGACACTGGTGCTTCTGCTCAGCGACTGCACTCGAAGTTGTCAGAAAACCCCAAGACAAGCTCAAGTCACATTCCGGCAAATGCACCCTTTTCTTGAAATGCGTTTTTACAGCATGAAAGCCAAACAAAAGAGGTATTTCTTTTCATACCCATCTCATAACTTGTTTTTTAACAATCGAAACTGAAGCCGGCGCCGAGAACAGCTTTCAACCTGAGCCCCAGCTGTATGCAGACTCGTTCACAGAAAAAAAAATACATCCTTCCCTCGAGTCCCAGGGATCCGTCCTTCAATGAGAACGTCTCTATCAGCTTGGCAGCAGTCAATATCCTTGGTTAAAGAGCCCGCTTCCTGCGGCAACATCGGAGATCTTAAATTTCAGTGCTGTGTTTTAAAGGGTTGCTTCTGCTTAACATGAACTAGTGGCTCCGAGATGCCTTTGCCCTACATTTTAGCAATTTATTCTTTCATCAGAACAGGATCTACCCACCAAAACAAGCCGGATCAGATAGCACCTAGCACCTTGGTTCGTAAGTACAATTTGGTGTTGAGATTCAAGAATTCATTAATGCACTTAGACATGTTTTAGACATTAATACTAGAATGTAGAGCTGTCCCTATTGCTCTACAACACTAAATTTGAACTCTTGATTATACAGTTGTGACATGACAGTTCATATCCATTCCAAAAGGGGCAAGAATATTGAATTAACTTGCAAGTAAAATGTACTGAAACGGGCACTACTGAACACAAGTGAGTCTGCACAGAGTAAGATCTTGGCAAAGATACTACTAAAACCTGCAACTGTGCTAGAAAAAACCTCTGACCCTTCTCCAAGATACTTGGCTTACCTTCTCAGATCCTTTATACTGACAGGGCTTGTGGTGAGGGAGGTTTTCAAGATTTCCAGATAAGGCCGTGGAAAGCAATTACACAAAACCCCAGATTTGATGACGGATAATGAAACAGAGGTCCTGTCTACGATATGAATTTGCATTACTACTTGCTTTATAATTGAACCCAGAGGCGGCAATGTTAACCACTGGGCCAGCGTGCTGCCCTGCCATCATTTAGAACGTTGGAATTCTGGGAAAGGGAAACGAAGCAGAGGACCAGTGCGGAGGAGTGGTTAGGGCTCCGGACCCCTGAAACCCTGGCTGAGGGTCCAGGGTTCAGTTGGGGATACAGATGCTGCAACTATAACAAGCCCCTCCGCCCGGTTGCTCCAGATGTATGAGCCAGTACCCTAAATCTTTACACAACAAAAACACATCATGTATTCTCTTCATGTCACTGGGGATAAAAACAAACAAGGGCCAAACAAATTACTTTGAAGAATAGACTCCAGCAAGTCTAGTTCCCACTTCTTACATTCACTAAAGTCACTGATCGGTTAAGGAATGTCTTGAGAACAGAACCCGTAAAAGTAGGATTTAGTAATCCATTTCGCGACTGCTGCTGTGTGTACATCTGTGGCACTTTATTAATCCAAAAGGGTGTTCAGCCCAACAAGAAAGCTCAGCTACCCGAGCTGAAGAGCCCGTGTCAATTCTCTGACCAAACCAGAGCATCCTGGACAAAATCATAGTGTAAAAGCCCACAAACTCCCTTTAATATTTCCAAAAAACGATTTTTGCTTTTCGTTCAAATCACATTGCCTCCTTTATTTGCTTCACAAAATATTTACAAAAAGATATCGGATACATTTTTCTCAACCAGCCTTTTGTTTTTAATAATTGCTTCTTTTAAGCACGTTGACCATATGGTTGTACACAAGTTGAGCGGATCAAAGTCTTTTTTTTTATATAAAACTTCTGGAAAAAAATTCACCATTGTCCAACACCCCCTCCCCCATTACACACGCGCACACCCCTTTCTTACCGCTTGCAGTTCCTAGTGCTCCTCAACTGTCCCACATGCTCAAAGCTACAAACAGGAAGTTGAGAGCTCATGTGCTTGGTGCAGGAAGTGACATCATTCTGCAGGAAGTCATGTAAAACAGCAGCCCCCATCAGATGGTGATGCAGTGTCACCATATAGTCCAGAAATAGGCTCCTGGGTTCAACACTGATCACTACACACACCCAGTCTTTGTATCCAAAAGCCTTCCTCTGTACTCTTATCCTGTAAGGATTTCAGTCCACAGTGTTGCCTTCTCATCATGGTACTTGGTTATAAAATAAAATATTTAAGAGATTTCTTTGTTTTCACAACCAAAGAAAAAAAGCAAGTTAATTTAGAAAGCCGCATATCGCTTGGACTTTCAGCCCATTTGATGGAGAGGGAGTCTCGACTCTCGCACGGAGCTCTCACCCAGTGGGTGGGATCCTACTGGCTCTCTGTGGAGATGGCTTGGATTTCTGAGCCTGACTCATACTTGGCCACCAGCCAGCAAGAAGAGCCTGCTTGTGGCAAAAATGTCGAAAGACATCTGGAGCCACAGCTACCTAAATTTATCCTTGACCAAGGCAAAAAAAAAAAAAACTTTTTTTTTTTACTCCCTCTCCCCCCCCCTCTGGCTTGTGCCAGAACGGAAACGCACTAAATATTCCCAATTTAAAACCCCAGCTGGAGGGGGAAAAAAAAGAGCTGCGTAAGTGAAGGGCAGAGAGTCATGGATTCAACGCCCCTGGAAGAGGGGAGAGGCGAGGGACAACGGCTGAGATCCATCTCGATTAAAATAATCTGCAGGGGGGCCGACTGCTGCTGCAGCCTCCCCCAACCAGGATACAGCCAGCGCTAGTCTCTTCAGCGACAACAACCTTCCCTTTTATTTAACCTGGGAGTGGAAAAGTAAAGTCCGACGTCTGCCGGAAGAGCGGGGAGGAAACTGGTGGGCTTTCGACGTGGTGGAACCAACGGGGGTGGGCGAGAACCCCCCCGGACTCTGGACTGGCACGAGCCTCTGCGCTCCCTCACGCCTGTCGGGAAGGTTAACTGGTGACGTAGTGTTTCGTGGAAGATTGGCCGTAGAGCCCGTAGAAGTCGGCGTGTCTGTGCGTCTGCGAGGCGTCGATCCAGTCCCGCATGGACAGGCCCTGGAGGGACTGGGGCACGGAGGGGGTGGAGGGCAGGGGGTGGTGGGAGTACTCCTGGGAGCTGACGGTCCAGGGGAAGGAGCTGGAGCGGGGGTAGGGCGGGTGCCCCCGGTGGTTGGAGACGGACGGCACCCCGGAGCAGTAGCAGTTGTCCACCGTGCACATCAGGATCTTGCGGCCGCCGTACTGGGGCAGCACGGGCTGCTGGGAGGAGCCGCCGCTGGGGTAGTGCGAGGGGGTGAAGACGGAGCTGGAATGCACGGCCTGCGCGCTGCTGCTGAGCCCCACGATGTGCTGGGTGGAGCTGCAGGGCACCATGGCCTGCGAGGACTGGCCTTCCCCCGCCGTCGAGCCCTGGCCCAGGTACTGCTTGCTCACGGGCCCCGAGGAGGACTCGAGGAACCCGCTGCTGTCCGGGAAGGCGGCGGAGTGCTTGCGTTTCTCCGCCCCCGAGCCGCTCAGGCTGCAGGGGTAGGCTGGAATGCTCTGGAGGAAGTGGGCTGGAGCGCTGAAGGGGGCTGTAACAGAGGTCAGAGGGGCAGGTGCTTAAAAACACGTCAATGCTTCCCGAGTCCTCCGAACCCCTGAATGTTTCTTCTTCAATACAACCTGGCTTTCATGATTATGCGTCCTGTACTGAGTGTGGGAGCATGAAGACTGAACCTGTGCTTTCCTACACACTGGGGGGGGTTAGCACCAATTGGAGGGGGTTTGCTTGGCGTCACTGATGCACCAAAAGTGCAATTAATGCCTGCTCCACCCTTGCTAGGTACAGCTACTTTGCAAAGCTTTTCAAACCTTGGCTAACCCCTTCAACTTACAAAAAGAAACATGCTTTCTGAAAAAAGCTTTTAAGAAACCTGTTAATCGTGCTTTACAGCAAAACCACGGACATTACAAGCCTGCTGCTTCCGCATGGTTACCTGTTCGGAGACGTCTCCCCCTCTGCACTATCACACTCTTCAGTTCAGCCTGATCTACTACAATGAATCAAACAACTGCACTGCAGCGATCGGGTACCTTCAAGCATCTTGCGCAGGTTCTTCTCTTTTTTCGAGATCTCAGACAGGAAGAGTTTGGAGTTCAGGTGGCCCACTTTATGAGACGGTAGCGCAGTGCCCGTACACATCTGTGCCCTGGAGACAATAACAGGCCAGACAAAGTCACGATAGAGGAAACGGATTGCCATTTGACAAACTCAAAAACGGAAAGAGAAAATTATTTTGTTTACTCACCTGTCCATTAAAATTTTTACTGACTTTGTGTTCTAAAAAGAAGGAAGAAATAATTAAATGACAATGTCAGTAACTGTTTCTTTCTATACGTTTCAAGGTAAAGACAGACAAAAAGGCTCTGAAATACTCCTGACCAAAAGCATTTCATTACTGCAGGAAATTCCCTGGCATTCAGGGGAGAAAAATCCCTAAAACACCTTTGATCATTATGAATTCTCAAGGCCCTGCTGTGGTTTCCTCTACCGGACAAGTATTTTTGTGATCAGCGCTTCTTCATTCTGCCTTCTGCTGACACTGCGCAGGCTGGAGAAGAGCAGGGTGGGGTTGCGCGCTGGGAGGTGAAGAGCAGTGAATTGCGTGTGGGTGGGAGAATCGGGACAGCAGGAATCCCAGGGTGGGGAAAATCCTTCGACTCATCTCCATAAAGGGCTCGTTCAGTTACATCTGGCAAACTTATCAAAAACCAGCAGCTTCAGCATAAGAAACTCCTGCAAGGAGGTCAGCTGGGGACTTTCAGCAACTGCCAGCACTCCAGGGCGTTAGGTTTCTACTTTGGTGCAAACCGGCCTCTCCCGTCTCTCTAAAGACACGAGAGAGTTATAATTTGAATTGCAAATAAACAAAAACCAAGTAGTATTATTTTGCATAATTTTGACTTCTTGTCTGAATATTTTTTTACTTTCTGCGCTTCGTTTCCTGGGGTGTGTAGTGCAGCCTAGCAGTGTGAGGCAGGAAAGGCCAAGTGACTAAGTGGAATTCACGCAAAAAGAGAAAACCAATCCCAACAGGCTTTGTTACGAAAGCAAAGGCAGGTCTTCCTTGCAGGGCGCCGGGGAAAGCACGGCACCTTCATGAAGTTGATGTCCTCCGCCTTGTCGAACACCACCTGGACGGAGCTCAGCAGCTTCTTGGCCTCCTGCCGGCGCTCGCTGAGCTGCAGGGCCTGCGCGGAGTTCTCCTGGCAGAACTTGGAGCGCGCCTTGTCCAGCACCTCCAGGGTCTTGCCCAGGTCCTCCTCCAGCAGCTGGTGCATCTTCTGGTACTGCAGCCGGACCTCCTCTTTCAGCTGCTGCACCTTGTCCTGCGGGGACAGACGGTGGTCACTGTGCGGGGCCCCCCCCACCCTGCGTCACCCTGAGTCTCCCCGCAGTCACCCTGGGACACCCAGAGCTGCCAGGCAACAACATGACACGCAAACACACACTGTACTATTTCAATTCAATTTCAAGTGAAATTTATTTCTATATAGCGCCTTTCTCAACAAGGCTGCCCCAAGGCACTTAAAGCTGTGTGACAGTACATGACATGTACTGTACAACACATCTTAAGATCCATTGTCTTATCTGAACTCACTCCTCCATTAGTGATGCACATCTTAAATTTTGGTGGATTTATGACTTGTTTTAAAGGTTCTGAATGGCTTTTATAGTGCCTCTTCACTACCTACCTAGACACATTAAAAAAATCAGACTCTTAAAACTGCCCACAGGGACTTTATTGGGTGATAGAAGGGGGGTCAGGTTCTGAGCACAGCACCTCGACAAGCAAGAGGGATCGCTGCTGAATCAGAAGAGCAAACAGTCGGATTCTGACGAGTAGACTGTCCTGCCCCTGAAGTTGCCAATTTTTGTCAATTCCAGGTAATTCCAGTTTTGATCTGTGAACTGGTTTTGCAATACGAAGGCTAAAAAGAAGCCCTTGAGCCCTAAAAAAACAACAGCAACTGCTTCGGCTTGTTTCCCCATACATTTGACGACTGAAGAAAAGTCAGTTATTTTTAATTTGCTCTTCCTGCTCAGGTCAAATCATGTGCCGAAGGGGGGGGGGGTGTGTGTCGCACTGTGCCTCTGCACCAGAAACGCTGATGTATTAGAGAAGACGGACTGCTCGTGGACCAGTAGGTGGCTCACTTCCCTCTGGACCAGATTTTAAAAATGATGCCCCAGTCAGGGGACCTGGGACACTGCGTGCTGTAGGATGTTCCCTATTTTGTATGTGATGTTACGTCCTGACCTCTTGGTCAATAAAGTTCACCTGGCACTAACTGAAAGAGCATCCTGACTGAATTCCACTCTGGGTTTGTATAATCTGGCCTTCTAAAAATTGCTCATTAATCCTACTAGAGTTATTTCTCCCTCCTCCCCCTGATCTGCTGCAGTGGGGCTGCTGGTGTGTCACTTAGGAGCTGTGGAATCCCTTTGATGTGAAAAATGCTATGTAGTTATAATTATTATTGAAGACATGCATTTCAGAATGTTAATGCAAAAAAAGAATTAGCGATATGGTCTTTCAACAGTGGCAGCAGCTCACGAGTGACCACAATGCTCCTGCTTTCGGCGTATTCCTCCCCCCGGCCCCTCCTCACCTCCACCAGCCTCTTGTCCGACTCCAGCTTGTACAGCTGCTCCTCGATGTCCTGGGCGCGCTCCTCTATCCGGTCCTGCTGCTTCATCAGCATTTGCTGGTGGGAGAGAGGAAGGAGGAGGTTAAGGTCTGCCTGCTTTGAGAACATCTGGCTGTGTTTGCCGATCACAACGGTTCTGCCACAAGTTGGGGGTGGGTGGGTTGGGGGGAGAGATCCGGTCCAGGAGCTCCGAGTGAAAGTGAAGATTTCAGGACAAAGGGATAGCCTGGCAGAGATAAATATGTATTTGGGTGAAGAAACTCATGGGATTCACTGAATTCACTGTTAGGTTATCTCACTAAGTGCTGTGTTTTGCTTATTCCTGGTAGGTGTCATGGAAACCTGGGGCCAGAAGCACAGGCTGACACTTTGGATGGGACTCCAGCCCATCGCACTGAACATGGACAGAACATGCAGACTCCATATAGAAGGATCCCCGGATGGAAAACTGGAGCATTTGCTAGCAGCCATTCCACTGTGTACTTCGCACGCATTAACAATCAACATCAAAGAGTAAGTCTGTCCTGAGGCTTGAACAGTGCCAGCTCCGAGCTGTTAGGTGTGCTGATCTTGTTCTACTTGTTCTCCATTGTTTAGCACTCTAATGCCATTAATACCGTCTATAGTTACTATAACTTTGAAGAACGGATAGGAGGTTAGGATGACATGGAAGGGCAAAGCACACAGCAGCTTATTTACGTTCTGCAGATGAAATCTGCACTGACTCAAGGGTTGAATATGATGGCAATTGTTCAAAGCTGTTTTCTCAACTGGAAACGAAAATCACATGACCTCAATTAAAAAAAAAAAAACACCCACACGCGCTGGGCAGGACCTCAGCCTTTAAATACCAGACGCAGGATGTGCGGTGCAATGCTTGGGAATGTGCTGTTCCTCCACGAGGACCTGTAACCCAAAGAGCACGCTGGACTTTGGTTTCAGCAGAAAAACAAGAGGAGAAATAAAATCTTCCGCCTCTATTAAGTCAAATAATCTTCACAGAACTACAGAAGTTCACAGACCAAAAGCGTTCCCTTTGACTCTATATATCCCATTTTTAAGAGAGAAACTGGGCTTGGCTGAAACTCCCAAGTGAAGCCCTTGACTTCACAGGGTTACTGCCTTCCACTCCTTCTTGTGCAGAAAAACAACGCCAATAACAATTAGGTTATAGAGCCTGCCAAAAGTTGACATGTAACGAAGGAACAAGCCAATTTGATTCTAATTAAATAAATGTTTATACAGGGGAAAGGCTGCCTCAGCAGTGTGAGGGGAGCCGCTGTCATGACAACGGGGTCAAGGCCCCCAGCGCAGACCCGGGCCTGCCCTGCGGTGTGCGCAGACAGGCTTCTCGGGCCGGGAGAAACTACAGGCTGTCTAGACATGCGGGCTGGGGAGCCAGCAGCCCCCAAACTGATAGCACCAAGAGCCAGGCTGCCTCCGGGAAGCCCTGTGAGTTTATGGGGTATCAGCAGTTGGGAACAGGCCCCTCCTGGATACACGCTTGCGGCCCTGCCGAGACTCTTCGAGGTGGCCTTTCGGAGTAACACCTGCATAAAGCCTCGTATATACAACCAATTCTAGTCTCTTCCTCTGCAGATATGGAGAATATGAAGCCATTCTGTTGCCTGTATTGTGCTGAATTTATGTAAGGGGCAACACGTACACAGGGAGGAAGGCTCCCCATCTCCTGAAATCTGACCCAGTCCAGGTCTGGGATAAATCAGCAACAGGATGATGAAGCCTTAAGCTCAGGCATTTTTCAGTGGAATTGATTATGATCGAGATAATGGCCATGCTGCCCATGCCCACGCAGCATAACCAAAAAAGCTGCAAAGCCCCACTTCTCCCATCATGAGTGAGTGTTCATGGTCAAGCACTGCTCGTCTCTGCTTCTTCAGCTCTTACTGGTGTGAGTATCAGCTGAATTGTCAAAGGTTAAAACAGCAAGGGACTTCAAGGTTCCAATCAAACGGGGCGGAGCAGTGGCTCTGTGGCTAAGGATCTGTGCCTGTGGCCGGAAGGTTGCCGGTTCAAATCCCGCAGCCGACAGAGGAATCCTACTCCGTTGGGCCCCTGAGCAAGGCCCTTAACCCCAGCTGCTCCATGGGCGCCATATAAATGGCTGACCCTGTGCTCTGACCCCAAGCATCTCTCCCTGTCTGTGTGTCTTGTGGAGAGCAAGCTAGGGTATGCGAAAAGACAAATTCCTAATGCAAGAAATTGTACAGGGCCAATAAAGTGATGTTAAATCTGTTATGTATGCTTGAAAGCACTTTGATTTCAGGAGCTGTAAACCAAAAAGAATTAAAAAAACAACAAAAGGTTATTTTATATAACTAGTTACACACAAGCACGAGGTTAATATGGCAGTAGGTTCACTGGGTCGCTTCACCAGTAAGAGCTGCTCAGACCCCCCAGCAGCTGGTAAAACCTGAAACGGCTCGAGCTGCTAATCAGCCGGATTCTAGTTTGCTTTCCCAGCAGCAGTCTGACCTGCCAGGCATCTACAGTCTCACACTTAAAATCTGGTCAGATCAGTCAGTCCTGTGGGAGTTACAAAGCAAACGATGATACAGAACTTTCTCCTCAAGAGGAACTAACAGGTGAAAACAGCTGATCACAGCAGATTCCACTGCACATCACTCCAGGGCTGGAGGTGGACTTTTTTAAACCACAATGAGACTTGGTGCCAAAAACGCAAAGAGGACCAGCGTTTCACTGTCTTTTTATAGAAGTGATCCTAATAAGTACCAAGTTGTTAAAGAACAAAACAAGATAGACACGTTATCCTAGCAAAGAAGAGTACACAACAGGTATCAAAGGTTAATCTTACAGCCTGACAAACAGACATAGACAGGAAATCATATGATTACCATCTGTTTTCATATATGAGTGTATAAAGAGGATGTTCTCAGTGCATGCGTGAAGACTACAGGCTACCTGTGCAATCTTCCACCCATGTCAGTGAGGGGATCAAGTTAACAACCTGGGCAGGTGATCGAGACTGGAGTGTTTCTCAGCGGCTGCCACACTATTAATTTAAAGTTCTTAAACCCAGGGAAACAAGGCCTCCTGAAGAATTTTCACTTTGTAAGAAAAACTTTGTTTTTAATCAAAATTCCATCCTGCTGCTAATTAATCACAGATGCACTTTTCAAATGAGTGAATGTTTATTAATAAGTTTATTAGTTCATTAGAAACATGCTTCTGTGACTAATTACCTAAAGCTTGTAATTAGGCCAGTTTTTCCAAAGCTTTTGGTGGTAGCATGTGTATGTTTCATTGGGCAGCCTCAGCAACTAAATTTGGAAAGCAAGAAGTCATTCTGTTATTTCTGAAGTGCCTCTCCTAAGAGTTTCCTTAGATCTTCCTAAGAGAACAGGGAGGAACCCCAACACAGCCCCCAGCTACTATACAAAGCAAACACTGTGCTTAAATAGATACCCAAGGCGAAGTGGAGGCCACAGAGACATGACACTTGTGTAAACACAGGGTAAGAAAAAGATGGGTTTGTACACACGCACACACAGGGACACACATCTGTACATACAGCTGCAGGCAGAAAGAAGCTCACATTCTTAACCCAGTTCAGTGACCGAAGACCGCTTCACCACTTGCCAGAACAAAACGCACTCGGAGTGAGCACGAAGACACTGCCGATTAGCGCACGCAGTCTGAATCGACGCGAACAGTGCACTACTGCTCATCTGGGACTGAACATACACAACGGGCGAAGCGTGCCAACCCAGGGATTTTTAGAGCTGAGTTATTAATACAGACCAAAACGTTTAGGTGGGTCAGCCTGGAGAGTGGGGTGCTTTTCAATAAGGTGTGCCATCTGGAAACTGGACAGTGCTCGTGGAGTACGGACAAGTCAATATTACAAATCCCCCATCCTTATTGGACATTTATGTTATCAAAAGGGGGACCTTTTAATACTCTTTTAAGAATGATTATACCCATCTTGTTTTTTTTGGCCTCTCCAGTTGTGTTATTTTTTAAAGACGGTGAGTCCCACCACCACACACAAGACAAAGTGAGGACCTGCAGGACGACTCCTCCCCCCGCTCACCCCTTGAACACATCACAGGAAGCCCCTCCCCTCGTGCCCACAAACACCCCAGAGGCTGAAGGGATAGCTGAGACCCTCCTGGCTGACTCATCCCCACCCCACCCTGAACTGCAACACGTTTACCTACAAACGTGTCTAAATGAGCAAAAATATGTTGCTGTTTATTTTTGGCCACCACAGTTAAGCAATCTTCGCTACACATTGGATTCAAGCACACAGAGGCGGCAGTCCTGTGTACCTGTCCCAGAGACGGGAGTCACGCAGGATGAGAGTGCTGCTCATGGAGAGCGGCTGGGGGTTTTTCCCTTGTGGTTCGGGCAGCCACACTGAGCTGCTCTTCGTCTTGAAAAGCGACGAGCCTCATTTTACAGCATGATCTCCCGGGATATGTTATGCCTCGATCAGAGGGATACGAGGATTAAGCCTGTGCACATAGCCCATATACCAGAGAAAACTACTTTCATCAATCAACACCCTGATTTCTGCATTTTCTTGTAGAGCCCTTAAAATAAAGGTCTGATGGGAAAAGGGTATTCTTACAATATGACATTCCACCACTCCAGAAATAATACCTCCGGATATTTGTTTTCTCAGTTCTTCCTCCAGTATTGGGCAGTAGTTTCCCCCTGAGCATTAACAGAACATGCATATTCCCACACAGGGGAGTTTTTCTGATCCTGCTTACAGAAGGAGGGCCCTTCATACTGTATGCTTATTTGCCAAAACAAATGAAGGCATCAACGTGAGGTATTTGATACTTCAGTGGCTTTTTTAAGGTCAGGGGCCAGACGAGACCAGAACATCCACTTCAGAGCCCGTCCTTGCAGTTGTTTACTAGCGGAAGTTAACGTCGGTTCAGTATTTCCACATGCATATGGACCGTGGGCGCAGTGAAACATTAAATACAGATCACAGGAGGGCACTGCCAGCTGCCGGTGAACTCGGCAGCATTCTTTCTTAACGCCGGAGGAGAAAGGAGGGC